CTCATTAGCGGAAAGCGAGAGAGAGGTGAGCACCGATATTATAAGGGTTATGATTTTTGTGAAATTGATTGATTTCTGAAGCAAAAGGAATGTTTTATTTGGTATTTCAGTCGGGTTGGAAAACCAAAACCAAACCCAAACAAACCAATATTAGCCGATATTATTGATATTGGGACATACCGGATATCGGCCGACATATCAGAAAAAAAAATTCCAAAAATAAAAAAAAAGCTATAAACCTGTAAATATTGTTGCAGGTTGCTATAGAATCCAATATATCGGTTGATAATTTATGCACAGGTTGCATTTGCTTGCATGAATTTGATGCAGAAACTACAAATAAGAGACTGAGTATTTTGACAATGACTAGGGGTGCTTGTAGGATTAGAGCCAAGAATTCCCACTTTAAAAGTTTGGTTAGGATGGTTGTACATGTTTATCACTCCTTAAAAAGAAAGGTTCTCAGAATTAGGGTTTAGTACACACTCAACTGGTTAACGTATATGCTATCAGACAATGTCAATATTCTAGTGAAGATATCATTTAAATATCTTGTTCACTTTTGTATCCATTTTATTCTACATTCAACATTTTTGCCATCAAGGTTTTAAGCATCAGATAATCAGGGAAATATCAGACAAATAAAATCCATACTGGGTTGCGGATATCAAGGGAATATCAAGATATGTAGTAGATATTGGCTATGAAGCACAGACACGCATAACATGAAGCCGTGTCGTGTCCGTGTCGGACACACGTGTCGAACACACGTGTCGAACACACGTATCCTATGTATTTTTTAGGATTTGCCTCGTGTCGGCGTGTCGGATGGCCGTGTCGGATCCGTGTCCGTGCTACATAGGATATTGGAATGTCATATCAGATGATGTGCATATTGTGATCTTAAAAATACTTAATTAAACGTAAGTGTACTCAATTGAACCATAAATCTCAATATTAAAAGTCCAAATTGACATTGCAACATTTTGGCCAATTGGCCAAAATATCACAATGATATATCGAAAAACTCATGAAATATTGCCTAAATTTTTCCAAAAGCAGTATATTATTTTGTGACAAGCCATATAAAAGAATATATATGCCAACATATCGGCTAATATTTCGGTCATGACCGACATATATTGCTCATAACTTACCAAAAAGTGGTAAAACATATTGGGACCATATTATTACGCAGCAAAGCCTTATAAAAGGTTATATCGGCTACATCGAGGATATTTAACACAATGCAATATGCACCGAAGAAACTTTATATGGATTTAAAGGAATTGGGACCAATTGTAAGTTAGATATGTGTGTAATCAGATGCAAGAAATTTGCATATATAGCTAATACAATGTCATGTACAGGAATATACAAAAGGGAACATGTACTAAAACCTAACTAAAGAATTGCTCAGTTCTGCTCAAAATTCTGCAATAAAGATCAAAAGCCTCAATGTTGAAAATAACTCTCAGGTCTCAGCAGTGCCCTAAATGGCACAAAAATATCTAGTTTTATTCCTCTCAAAATCCATATTACATCATACTTGATATCACATTACTTAATAGAAAACGCCCACCCTGACACCCAACCGAAAAAACAGGGAACAGAAGGAAAAAAAGAATCAAACAAAGAAAATAAAGAAAAGGGAACAGTAACACAGAAAAAGTAGTAGTAGTAGTAGTAATAATACCCAGCTAAGCCAGGACATAATAACAATATGTATATCATACCACTTTCATAGAGTGCAAATGCTAAGAGACGAGTTAAATAGACAAAAGGACTCATGCAGCCAGTGTCAAAGATTTAAGATCAAATTTTTATTGTTGTCATTACCACTGAGCGCAGGCTTAGAGCATAACAATTAAAACAAAGTCCATCTTTTACATTATAATCTATAGTAAATTACAACACATCAGGCATAGCAGACTACTACCGTTTGCCAATTGGCATGTCAAAAGTACTTAAGAGGATTCCGAGCTTTGTTTGCAAGCCCTTGGCCTCTTAGAATTATGCATCAATCCAACCTCCAGAAGCATTGCTGACAGAGCATGTACATCTATGATCTTTAAGCCATCTTAACTTGGGGCTATCTATACAGGAAACTTTACTGATCGGCTGGTCCATAAGGCTACAATATCCATTAACTGGAGGAAACTTTACTGATCGGCTGGTCCATAAGTCTACAATATCCATTAACTGGAGCTAAGCTAAGCATTCTCTAATACATCGACCACATTTAGGATCAACACCCTTCAGCTTGCTTTTAAAATCTCCATTACAGGATACCATTTAATTATATTTTTTACATTGTAACATATAGAGAGACAACATCAGCACGATGACCTGCATTGCAGCAGTGGAGAAAATGCTATGCTCCAGACATACACCAAAGGCCTCGTCTGTGTTTGGTTTGTAACTTTGTATATGTACCTAGATGCGCTACATACTTGGATTGCTTGTTAAACATGAGTTATACTGGGTATACTTGTTACTTGTCAGTTGTTAGACATATCCTAAATTCATAAAAGGTAGTACAAGGACACGGCTGAAATACATGAGCTGAAATCATAATTCTGATCTAGATAGCAAATCACCCTTATAAATTGTAGTTCTTAGCTGAATATAAGTTGAAATGAATACAACCCTTGTCCAACAAGTTTCAAAAGTGGATTTGAACCGTAGGATATATGTCTAAAAAGTGTATGACAAGTGTTTTAAATTAAAATATGTATTGAATAATGAATAAATGTATGCATATATTCAAGAAATTCAAGAAGTGTCGGGTATGGGTATGGGACGTGTTGGATATGTCTTCATGATAGAAGTATACATGCAACATGTCCAACACACAACCACCTTAAACCACTAGTGGATAGTAGGCGTTTAGTTTAAATGATTTATATGAATGGGATTTAGAATTTATATGAAATTGCGTGCATACAGTTTGTTGTTGTGAAACTTGAATTTATATTATGGCTTGTCCTAATTCTTAAATCAAAGTTTGAAAATGCGAAAGCTTGACCCTCAAGTACACAAAGTGTATGCTTCACATGAAAAGTGGATGCTTCAAGAATTTTTAATTTGTTTTATAGTAATTTGTGCATGTAATAATATGGGTCCTCTTTAATTTAAGGATAGAAATAAATGAGAATGTGAAACAAAGCAAGGTGAATGAGAAATGTGTGTTCCAACTGATATGGCTGGTAATTGGAGAAACAGGATGAAAGATACAACATAACAACAAACAAAATACACTAGATGACAAAGTTGAAGTTAACATATGTGCTAGGAAGTAGCTTTGACATGGTCTCAATTGGTAAAGATCCTCAAATCACTTGAAAGAAAGGAGGAAAAAGACATTGACAAAACAAGGTTATGAAAAACTTTACAATGATGCGTGATTTGTAAAGCATAAAAGCATGAACTCTATATAATCAATAATATAATCTTCACATTAAGTAGCATGGGGTTCAAACTTAGAGCTTAATCCTATAGTCTATCAAGCAAATTATCACTACTATGCTTCCAAATGCACTGGAATGAGTTTATGATGAGCTTTCCATGATACTGATAACCATAATCTAATGTTTAGTTCCTACGAAAGCCCTCACTGTAACCCACAGTTAGAGTCTTAGACTAGTAAACATAAGCCCATTTGGCCCAGCTATTTTCTACCAAATATCATGTTGGGTCAATTCTATAAACACCTAAATTCAACGCAGTTCAACATTTCACCTGCTTTACTAATTTACTTCTCTAAAGAATTAGTGCCTATTTATTTAATTTTGTTCACATACATAAACCAGTCACATGTTAAACTTTCAATTACTTCAATTACATACACACCTCAATAAGTCTTTTACATTCCACTAAACATTTACTTCGCAAAACATTATATAATTCATATTCACCTATACATACTATATCAGTAAGAAATATAAGCATTAGACTCTGGAAAGTTTTGCATCCGTTTAGAAAACATCAAGTCTATCATCAAGCAAAGTTTTTTTCTTTAAACAAACAATAGTTTGAACTAATAGAGGAAGCTCAAGGCAATATACTAATAGTACCTACAGTTTAATTTTTTGCAAAATATGGCAAGTATAAAATAGAACTAGTAACGCATACATGAAATAAATCGCTTCAACAAGTAATTCACCTAAAAAAATCCAAACATTTAAGCATGTCAAACCTGGCCCATCGGCGGTGGGTTCAAACCCAAATCCAACAAGCTGGGCACCTCCCCAACCTCCACATCCCCTTGCGCCGGCAACCCCTTAACCTGATCCAGCGCCTCAATCGTCTTCCTCACCCCAACCCCCTTCACCTTCTCCCTAAACCCTCCATAATTGGTGGGCATCTTCTCCAAATCAAATGGTAAATCCTCAATGTGGTACAACGTACTCCCCCAAAAGTACTTAACCTCCACCCCCTCCTCCTCCATCGCCTTCTCCACCCTCTCCTCCGTCTTCACCTCCTCGTTGGACACCTCCCGATGGCAATACACCGCGTCCGCCCCCACGGCCCTGACCAATTCGACGAGCACCGTCTCGGGCCTCCCCACCCGGACGACGAGGTCCGACCAGCGGGCTCGGGGCGCGACCGCGAGAGTCCGACACGGACTTGGTTCAAGAAACTGGGCCCGCGTACGGCGCCGCGTCGCGTCGAGCCGGCAGAGGAGGACTGCCGGAAGTCAGCGATGCGGGAATCGAAGGGCGAAGACGGGGAGGAAGGAGAGATGGGTAGTCGCTGAAGAGCTGGAGGAGAGGGCCTCGTTGTCGTGGTAAGGCGGATGAGTTCGGAATGCGGAACAGACGACCGGGAGGCGAGCACGTCGAGGCGCGACACACCGACGGAGGGAGTCGGAGGGCGGCGGCGGATAAGGGGGTCCTCAGACTTAACGATTGAGAGGGGGGCTGACGGGCTGATGACGTTGGAGGGCTTCTTGGTTGTCCATTTAGGATGGTTTGTGAGAGGGAAGAGCGCGAGGAGAATTGAGGAGGTCGAAGATCTTGAGGTTGGAGATGAAGGGGAAGGGAGGGGAGAGGTGATGGGTTTGGGGACAGAGGAGAGGAGGGAGGGGAGGAAAGGGAGAGAAGAAGATAGCGGAGAATTAGTAACGCAACTAGGGTTGCGGGTTTTGGCGCATGGCGGTCTGTGCGTCTCTTGGGCCTCACCGATGCGGTTTAATCCTCGAGGAGGAGTGGGGGAGCTTGGGTTTTGGGAGGACGAGGAGAGAGAGACTTGCTGCGGTTTCCAAATTGAATATGACGGCAGGGAAGGAAGGGAGGGAGGAGAGAAGCCGGGAGTGAATGGTGATAACGAGGCTGGGTATGAACTGATTGCCGCGGTACTTGAGGTTTGGTGGCTCTGCACCAAACAGTCGGGATTAGGTGTCTGGTTTTTTACAGGGTTTTGATTTTATCGTTTAGACCCTGAGTATGTTTGAAGTTTCTCACAAGTCCCTCAAATTCCAAGCGGCCTTGCAATTTGGTTCCCGGGTCTGGGGACTTAATGGATATCTAAAAGAATACTCTGACAAGCTATGTTAAGATTGATTTTTTTTTTTTAGTGTCTTGTGGAAATACGTATATTGTTAGATCCTTGTAGAATTTTGAATTATATTCATTTCTTCTTATTTCATCCTTGCTCTTTGATCAAAGGGCATTTAGTTTTATGTTGATCTCATCTTAAGTTTATAGCAGTCAAGCATTTATCTTACTTTGCGAAGTTTGCGATTGATCAAGCGATTAACTTAGTTTATATTGAGATGACCAGAGAAATTATCGATGCTTGAAACTTTTTATAATTATTTTCATCCAAATTAATCATCTCATAAGGTGTCACGAAATCTCATAAATTGATTATTTACTCTTTATTTTTTTTACTAATACATCATCTTAAAAGACTATATTCTCATGAGTACGAATAATAAATTTTTGCAAGTTGTCATGACGAGAATACTATGGAAGTTAGCCTAGCCATGCACCCACAAATTGATTTTGCAATAATTCATTTGTTCTTGAAGCAATTGTGAAATTTATTAGGACTTCCATGATGTATGGATACATTATAGAGGCCTGTGTATGGGAGTGGGTAGGTGATTAATGAGAGGAGGGATGGAGGGGTTGGTAAATTTCAAAATAAAGTGCAGGACTTAAGACTTCAGACTTTTCAACCTCACCTACCACCAAGCCAAACCTTCACCAACCTTCCAATGGTTTAGTATTAATTAATGAGTTAATGAGATGTCTACTTGGTAAGTGAATAATTTGCCTACTTATTGGATTAATAAGGAAGCATGCGGTGTATTTGGGCCCGAAGGTGAAGAATAATGTGTTGGGTTTAAATCCAATATATGGGCCAATATATTAAATAGTTATGTATTATGTGCTATCAATCAAGTTTAGCTCATTGAAGTGATCCGATTAGGGTTTGGGCTTTCAATGCATAATAAAGTATGAGTCTCCTATGACCAAAATATAATTGTTAATTCTATAATGGGCTGAATTGATAATTATGAATAACCGATAGCAGTTACAAATAGGATTGTGGTTCCCCAAATCTCTACGTAGAATCTCTGTGTTTCTCTAAGGAGGATATAATACGTACAATATTTGGAAGATCTACATCTCAAAACTCAAGATTCACATCCTACTCCATGGATTTGGGTATGGTTCCACATCTTCTTCATTGTTTCAATAGTTTAACATGAACAATCTTAGGATTGATTAGGGTTTTATCTATTAAAGCAAAAGTTTTCTTTTGATCTAACATAATGTGTTCAATCGTAGCCTCGTAGGGCACTACGTCTTTCTAAGTTTCTTCCACTATTTTTAATCTGAAGAATTCGATTCCTCAACATTTTAAACATTGTTTTTTTGGGCACAATATGAGTAACCTAGACTGCATATATGCAAATGAGAGACATGTTGATGATTAGTACACATAAATATATCATGACTTTGTTGAGTATAGCATTCAACATAGGTATATGGAATCACTTCGGCATTTTAGACTGTTGCGTTATGAAAAGAACTTGTTAAGGATTTGGAATAATCTCTTAACAAGGAGCGCTATTTAAGAGGTCGCTGAGTTGATAGTATATAGCATGTGAAAAATAGATGACAATATGATATAAGATGGAAATTATAAAAATTTTACATAGCTTAATGGTTTTAAAATAAACAAACCAATTTGGAGAGACCCCTACTTCAATCACAATCATTAATTACCTAATGCATAATTGTGATACATTCTAAATCTAACACTTACTGTATCATGTATATTACACTCATTTCTAAATTGCATTCAAAGAAAAAAAGATTGTGATCGTGGGGGGGACCCACCCACGTGCTTGTCCCTTGTGCGGACGAGCTCTCGTTGTGAGCTCGCGCCGCCTGACAGCGCCGCGTCCGCACGAAACCCGCTTGGGTTTCGTGCTCGTTTTCTGCTCCCGCACGCGCGAACTTCTCTTCCCGCGTTTCTTTGCCCGCCTAAATTTTCTGACTTGCCCCTTGTTCTCTCCTATAAATAGAGAAGGGGTGGAGGAGTTAGAGTGTGGGGAAATTAAGAGAAAAATAAGTGTGTTATTCTTTTGAGAGAAAAGAAATAGTGAGTTGAGAGAGAGCTTGCAAAGTTTGGTATTCTCCTCATATTGAAACTCCCTCCTGTGGACGTAGGCTAGTTTGCCGAACCACGTAAAATCTCGTGTTTGAATTTGTCTTATCTGTAAGTTGTCATAGCTTGTAGGTTCCCTCGATATTTCAGTGCTTGAACTGATGAGAGGAAGAGTGTATATTTCACTTTGATGAAATATATCACTTTCGATTCTTGTTTCCTTTGAGAAATAAGAATTTCATTATCTATTCTCGTTTCCTTTGAGAAACAAGAATATAGAGGTTGACTTGTGCTTTTGTGACAACAAAAGCCAGGGCTCTCTCTCAGGTGATATCGCTTTTGTGACAACAAAAGCCAGGGCTCTCTCTCAGGTGATATCGCTTCCGCGGCGGTGGGCGTGACTCCGTCCCAACAAAGATCATAATCACACACTAAACAATCAATGGTTGTAATTAATAAGTAAGGCTACCTCTCAACTATTTTTTTTGATAGTGTAAAAGATCGGAACCCATAACTATAAAACTAAATTTCATTTGCTTCTTGTCATCCAAAGAGCGAGTAATGTATCAGCGCCAATACCGGACAAAAACCTACAGTGATAATAGTTTTCCGTATGTTTTCGTACCTGTGTGAATGCTATCGGGTATCTTGTCATTCTTATGTTTCTTTCATTTTTGCAATATATTGTGTGAGTTGTATTAATTCGCACATATAAATGCTGAGATGTCCTACGGAATTACTGTAAATCAAAGTACTATAAAGCAACCTGATGCCATGTCAAAGTAAAGCCACTCACTTAAGCTGATCTAAATATTAATTTCTCGCATTTTTGCAAATACACATCATGAGTTGTTTTTGTCGCCCGAGTCTAGAGCAATCGCGCAGGACGTAAGCATTGTTTTACCGTCCATTCTGCCACTGAACAATCTCGTATAAATACATCAACATTCGTATAAATGTTAAAGTTTTGGATTAAGATATATTTGAATTGTGCTGTTTCAAGACACTACTTGAGAACTGGGGAATTAGACGGAAATTTCCGTCTACAATACCCAGCAGCAGTCTATTTCAAATATCGAATAATATATATAATGTGTCCGGAAATCCATGTAGAGAAGTCGGTCATGGAAAATTCCGTCTAGAACGCTCAGTTTTCTACCAGCGCGAGAACAACTTCATCAGACCTGGAATCTAGATTCGCAGCCGCAACATCTGCTTTCCCTCTAAAACAGAACAAATAAGGTAAGTTCGCCGCCAAGGAACATCTCGCACAACCCGAAACCATCCCGAGTCACCACCCGTCGAATAGCTCACTATCGTCCAAAGCACGAAACGATCCACCCCTTCCACCCGCGCCATAAAAAACAACATCCTTCCCCTCGACGCATCACCATTCGCTCGACTCGTCCTCAGCATCCAGAGCGCACAAACGGGCATGGATAGAATAGAGGATTAAAGTTGTTTATACATAATGGAGACCGCATTAACAGTCAGTGGGTCTGTAGCACGCATACCATTTCAGATCATTTATGACCGCCTAAAAGCCCCCAATCGCCGCCGGCCTCTGCGTACGCCTTCTCCTCCCACCCGCGCGCCCCCGGTAACGTGGGTTGTCCACCACCGGCTTCAGAAAACCCCTCATACCAGTGGAACATCTCTCGTAGGCCCGGCCATCAAGACGCTGCACGCTCGGACGCACAATTGGCCCGGGCCTGGTTCTTCGCCGGGAGTAGAATATTGGTTCGGTGGCCTGTAGAATTAATGGCTGTCCGACGTTGAGACTGATGGCAGGCCTGGAAGGTGCAGACGAAGGCCCAGCGACGGAAGGGGAGTTGGGGAGGCCGTTGTGGTGAGGGATTGGAGGAGGGAGGAGAGGGTGAGGGAGAAGAGCGAGGAGTGGAGGGGAGGGGGAGTGGATTTGGAGAGGAAAGAAAGGAGAGGGGGAGGAGGAGGGAGAGGAGGGTGGTGCTGAAGGGCGTGGAAGGAGGTTTTTAGTATGAGGGATGGGATTGAGATGAATCGCCTTCTCCATTTGAGTGGGCCATTTTCCCTCCCCTTCTTTGTTTTTGGTTTTTCGATGGGGTCAGCGGAGCTTTAATTAGTGGGAAAGTTTAAATAGGAAGGGGAGTGGAGGTAATAAATTGAGGATAGGGTTTTCCTTTGTTTTTTTTTCTTCTTTTTATTTGTTTAAAAGTGATGAGGATAGGGGCTCGTGCGCACGATTTTTTTTGGAGTCGGGTGCATGTTATGGCTGATATGTGGTTTGTTTGAGGTGATCATGATTATGTTTAGATGCCACCTTGTGTTTTGTTTATATAAATGAGTTTGTGGCACAACCTTTCGCACGGATTCCTTCCATTAATTTTATAAATAAATAAATCTAGGCGCGATTTATTGTTTTGTTGGATCATCTGGCCGAACATTGCTCCGTCTTTCAAATCGTTAAAATTCTTTGATATCCTTCACTGATGGCCTCAGATCCAGATACAGCCTGAATTTCTCAGTAAATCGCTTATAACTTTTGAGGAATTCACCAAAAACACCGAACGCGCTCAAGCTCCCCCGGCTCGATCTGCGCCCACCCCCCCCCCCCCCCCCCCAGTCCAGATGAGGTCAGCCCCAAAGAAACTAAATCTCGCGACCCACCCGACCCTGAAGCCGCTCACCCACTGAGCCGATCCCCGCCCCACCTTAGCTGGAACAACGCCTCATACAGATCTCCAACCGCCACCCGCCGGCGCGCCCTCCGTCCTACACGCCGCATGCGCCTGCACGCGTCCCCCGACCTCGTACACCTTCCCCTCCTCCTCTCCTCCCTCCCCCTCCCCTCCCCCTCCCCCTTCCCCCCTCCACTTCCACATCCTCCTCCTCGGCCTCCTCTCCCACCCCTTCGCCTCTCCTCGCCTCCATCTCCATCCTACTCCCCATCTCCGTCCCTCCCCCGCCCTTCGTCAGCTCCTTCCGCGAAGCCCCTCCACCGCCCCGCCTCGACCTCGCCTGCTGCAAACGCCGCCCTCGTCGCCTGCACTGCGCGCCGGGCCGCCTCGCCCTCGGCCCGCAGCCTCTTCGACGCGATGCCGGAGGCGCGGACGTGCTCACCTGGACCTGCGTTGACTCGACGGCACGTCAAGTGCGGTCAGCCACGGCCGCCTCCCGGCTGTATCGCGACATGCAGGGGCCTCGGCCCGCCGAACGCATTGTCACGCGTGTCCGCCGCGCTCGCCGCGGTGCGTCCGCGGTCGGGGCGCTCGAGCAGCGGGGAGTGGGTGCACGGCTTAACCGCCGAGCGCTCGCGGCGTCAGCGGTCGACCCGCGGTGGTCGGGACCCCAGCGCTGATCTGCATGTACCGGCAGGTGCGGGCGCGTCGGAGAGGAGCGGCGGCAGGTGTTTGAGGGCTGGGGGCGGAGAGGGACGCGGCGGCGTGGAGCGCCATGAGTGCACGCTCGCCCTGCACGGGCGTGCTGACGAGTGCTTTGGGCCTGTTCCGTAGGGATGTGCGGCCAGGCGAGCGTTCGTCCGTGCCCAAACGCCGTCGCTTTCAGCTGGGCGTCATGCCCCGTTCGCCTAGCGTGCACGCTGGTCTGGTTCGGCGAGGGGGAGGAGTATTTCGAAGAGCAATGCACCAAGCGATTGTTGGCAATCTGCGATATCTCAGCATTACGGTGCAATCCGTAGATCTCTACGGCAACGGTCCGGCTCAATCGGAAAGCGTGGGCGTAGTGAACCGATGCCAGGAGGCCCGATGTGCCCATATGGGGCTCGATCCTAAGCGGGTCCGGCACTCATGGCGATATCGAGATGTGTGAAGTCCTCAATCAAGAACCTAATCGCACTCGGACTAACCCTAAAAACAAACTCAGGCTATGTTCTCCTCATCGAACGTCTACGCAAACTAGGACGATGGGAAGATGGTTTCGAAGCGTGAAAAACTGTATGGAAGAGTGGGCGTCAAGAAAACCCCTGGTTTGTAGCATCGTTGACTCGATGGCAGCTGCATGAATTCTTCGTCGGCGATGAGGCTCATCCAGAGAGAAAAGAGATATATCGATGCGGATGAGATGCATGGAGAGGTGATCGGTTGATATGCTGTGAAGACTGACGAGGTTTGTTGATTTGATGAAGGGGAAAGAAATGGCTTTTTGGCTGTTCAACAGTGAAGAGATTGCAGTTGCTTTTGCTTCGTTAAGACAACGCCAGGACTACGTGAGATCATTAAGAATCTGAGATATTGGGGATTGTCATGAAGCCATGAATTTAATTTCTAAGGTTTATGGGAGGGAAATTGGTCGTCAGAGATTTGTAAGCAGGTTTCATCATTTTCGTGATGGGTCTTGCTTCTTGTAATGGTTTTTGGTGATTAGTTAGTAATTATTAGCAATGAAGATTTATTTGTGTAAAGTTTTGTTTGTCTTTAATCAGAGTTTCTCTCTTAACTAAAGATCACTTTTCTTTGTCATTGAATCAAGAAGATATTTCAAGATCAGAGGTAAAGATATCGATACTATGAATAATGTTAGAGTTGATAGAGAAAATTAAGGTTTTTTAACCATATTAATATTTGCCTGAATCAAATAACAATATCATACAATTTTATAAAATAGATTGCTCACAACATGTATATTATATAAAATTTCTTGTAGATTACTCAATAATATATGAAATATGAAAACATTTACATAAACAGGGTTTCTTTTTGAATGTTTATTTAGAGAGTTGCGCTCCTAGTAGAAAAATTTATATGTGAAATATAACAAATAATACCAATTATAATTTTACATAGTATTTACTAATCTAGTAGAATCATCAATTATCTACAAAATCTTTATATAGCACAAAGCAACGTTCATGCAAAATCTAATAAATGACAAGAAGTCGTCTATTAATCAATTATTGTGAAATTTTATATACAAATCTGTCATGCACAATCTACTGAAAGAAAAGATTACCATAGAAATAATCATCAAATTATATAGTATTTCTGAATCTAATAGAATAAATCAAAGTCTATGTTTATCCAGTAACTGTAATGATTAGTCAAATTATATCCTAATCTTTGTTGAATACAAGATCCAAAATTGATGATAAAGACTTCTCTCAGTCACCATTATATGTGAAATTTCTAGTATGAGAGAGTTTCATCTAAATATAACGAAAGAGTATATTAATCTACCAAAATCTTCCATAATATTTATACAAATAGAATAGAATTTCCTTAATAAAATCTTCACAATAATGCTTGCCTCACCGAAATATAACATAAAGAAAAATATTTATTCTACAACCATACGTGACGAACCTAGGATTTTTTTTGCCCAAGGTGGCCAAATACAGCCATCATTGTATGTACCGGACTAAGTGATATAATATGATAAATTATGATAAATTTTCAGTAATTGTAGTTGGCTTTTCTTATAATCACAACTACAAAAGTTCAATTTGTAGACCTGATAAATAAGATACACTAATAATATTATAAAAGCTGAAATTTATTACAAAAATAATAAAGAAGAAACAAAGTAATAAATATAATCTAAAAGAAAAGATTCTCACTTAATAAACCAATCACCAATTGTGTTTTTTTCAACATGCAATTATGTAAAAAATTGAAAAAAAAAAGTTCCCCCCTCAAAAAACGAAAAGAAAATTGCTAAACACCAATGATAGCATGTGTTAACCGTTGGACTGATGTGAATATTAATTTGCTTTAGTTGTTTGGATATTGGACATCAGATTTTTCTTGGCTTACTGACATATAGATTTTGTAGGCTCATTTAACTCCTAATACCAACAACCAATAATTTACTTAACCAAAACTATTGTTCTTTAATAAAATCTCTAGGGGGTTGTGGCCTCTCCCGTCCGTCATTTGCGCAACTATAATTTTGTAGTCAATTTCTTTATGATCATTAAAGAACAGAAGCCTCTATCTTTGAAAAACCTAATCATAGAGAGATTTCCTATTATTTCCTCATACAAATTTAGAAATTACCTTGTTTAAAAATATTAAGATCCACGAAATAAGTAAAACCAACAATCGATTACCAAATTAATGCCTCCATTTCCCTCTATTTTTTGTTCTACCTTGAATATATGCTCTCCCCTCCATCCCCCCTCTACATAATACCGCCCAAAAAACAGAACCAAAGTAAAACAAAAACCATGGCTTAAAAAAAGTTAATTGGCATGGATAACCAATTGGCATTATCGGCTGATGCCCAATTACCGCGCACGCTCACCATTTAGCTCCGCTTATAACCCAACCCTTGGCTACATCTGACATGGATTGCCACGAATAGAATGGAACCATATTTCACAAAACATCAAACTCTATGGAGTGTGGGGGAATTTGCTTATTTGCTTCTTTCAAGATGAGGCTCGTTGCAGGTCATAAACGAGCAGCTGATAGGAGTGCCGAAACTTCTACAACAAGTGGGGTTTTACAACGTGGCTAAAGCTTCTTCCTTATGGCAAAGGATGGTGCCAATGGTGAAGTTGCTTCCCCACAGTTATCCTAGAATGAAGGCGTGAAATTTGCTAAGGCTCGTTTGAACTTGGATTTGAACCCTGGATTTGAAAAATTCAGGGTGTTTCCAATTCAAATCTCTAGTTTGGATTTTTAATTAGGCTTAGATTTCAAATCAAATCTTTGAGAGAGCGAAGCAATTTGAGCAGCCAAATCCACATATTTTAAATCCATCCTTCACCCTTGGTTATTTACCAAATCCCACTCCCGACTCCCCTCTCTCCATCATTTCTCAAGTCCCCCGATCCAAATCTCTCTCTCACCTTCCCTCTCTCGTCGAACCTTAGCTCTGATCGTCTACCATCCCTTTCTCCTCTCTCTCCGTCCAGTCGAAACCCTAGCTCCGCCTCCTCCTCCCCCTGCGACCCGCCGCGCAGGTACGTCCCCTCCGGCTCGGCGGAGAGAGGCTGCGCGAGGCGATCCAGGAGAACTCCAGCGCCACCGACTGCCGGCGAAGGCCCGGCGAACACTCCCGCCTGCGACCACGCTGACGAGTCCTCATCGCCCACGTCCATTGGAAAACCTATGCCAGAGCTCCTGCTCTCCTATTGGGGGTTAGGTTGGGGTCGGATCCTCCTCTGCAGCGTTTCAAGCTCGCCAAGCCAACGGTCGTACTCGTCAGATCCTTGATCTCAAGGTATGGATTTCGTTTCCTCGCCGTCGTTGGATTTTTGTGTGGAATTTGATGCCTCTGAAGATTCGATTTCTTTCTTTCTTTCTGTCATTTATTATACTATCATGAGTATTGTGAAAAAGGCACATGCATAATTCTCTATTATAACTCAGGTGAAATTTAAAAATTCATAGAAGCACCAATACAACTTTGCTTTTGATCTCACAGTAGTGATTATGTTGAAATAACACACGAAAAAGCACATATTGAGAAGCTGAAAATCAAATAGCACGTCGGCTAATGGCGACAAATGACGTTAATAATCACATGTTCTCAATAATCATTTAATATGATAGGAATATGTTGCTCCTTTGATTTTAACTTCGACTACTAATTAGTTATCTAATCTGAGTGGGCAGAGCGGGTTTCCCCTCCTGGGAGGGGCCAAAATACAGTTATCAACATAGTTATCTACATCTGAAGAAGGCATGTTCTTGAAAACAATAATAGTGTCCTCATATGCATTACTCAATTAAACAATTAGTTGGAATCCTCAGGGCTTTCAGTTTTCAGAGTTTTATGAGGCCACAGCTGTTCGCCATTAGGGCATTGGAAAAATTTAGCAAATAGAATTGAAGGACGGAAGAGATATGGGCAGTCGCAATCGATGGGTTTTATTAGCTAATGCAAAAACGAATGATCAGAGAGGCCCTCAATGAAAAACAATGACGCATTTTAACAAATAGAAATGCAACATTGTCTCGTCGATTACGGGATCTCTACTAGCCAGTCAGAACTCCTTTGCATTATTTTTGCGTCTACTAGCCACCAGCACTGAAAGGCTCTAATGGTTTCATATTTGATGTGCAATATGACTATTTCATAATTCATGTGAACGACAATATCATTACATATCACCTTCTAACTATCTATTGCATTCTAATAGATTTGATTCATAAATTTATACAAAATTATGTCATCCAATCATTTAGAAATTCACGTACTGGCAAATATATGTAATTATTGTTTGATTGCATAAAACAACAACATGAGCGGTTCATGAAAAAGTCCATATATACGGCAAAGCAAAACATACCACCCTGCACTCTTCAGCAGCATTCCAGCATGGTCAAGAGTTACCCACTAGCTCCAGAGTTGATTGAGAGCACATATTGGTTATTCAACGGCTACCAGGAGATCCAAGGTTTGGCCTTATTCTTGAACCATAAAGTTCTATTTCATTCTCTAATGAAAAAATTATCTTATTCTTGTTTACTCTCAGTTGTTACTCGCAGGAGTTTAGCCTATCAGAGTCAATTCTTTTATATAGATTGGTGTTTTTGTTTTGTTTTATTGATTACTGAGCTCATGTGATTTATATGTTACAGAGAGCTAAAGAGGCTATGCGGCACTTTGTTTCCACATAAGGACTAGAAAAATACAAAAGAACATGATGGGCACTAGGGGTTTTGAGTTAATCAGCATAATATTTTTGAGGAACGCTGAGATTCGTTTATATTTTGGTCGTTCATATCCATTATGCCCTGCAGATTCTCCTTCCAATATATTTTCCCCAAAATTAATTGTGTTCTAACTTCCTCGCCGATCGATGAAACTGCCTTCATCTTTGACCAGTTAACTACATGAAAAGACCAGACAAATCCTAGATAAATACATGCAAGTACTTTCTTATGGTTTTTATGGTGTTAATATCATGCAAATCAACCATAATTACTCTTAATCTTGTTATCTATATAGTCTAATGGAGGATAGTTAGTGTAACATTTCAAGCTTATTAGTATGAATTACTGACATGGATTTTTTGTTTATCCATTATGCATAATTTTGTTTTGTAGCCCTGTTCGAAATTTTTGGAAGACTTACTTTCAATTCTGCTGTGTCTTTACATTATGCAATTGTTATCTAATGCAGGTATCTTGTATGCTGGGCGAGAATGCTGGGCGAAGCCTTCAGTAGGTGCAGAGATACCCCATGTGGTGATTTTGCCCATATTGCAGATGTTGAGTCTCACAACAGGATGACCACATAGAACGAGCTTCTTCCTTGCTGAAAGCAATAAGAATAAATATATATATTGCGTAACAAATGTAGTACTGCGCTTCTTCATTGAATCGCCAAAGTTTTAGCCTATACGTGGAGACCTGCACATTGGTTGTTACACTTGTTCCTAACTTTTGTATTTCAACCTTCAGTCTGAAGAAATATGTGAAAAGAAACAAGCCTTCTTAGGAAAACGCATCCTAAACACTATGTACACTTGATGCTCTCCTTTTACAAGTATTTTTAGCACCCACTTTGTTAATTGTCATTGTGATAGATAGTTATGTCAGTTTACTCATAATAAGGTCAGTTGCTATAATGCACACGACACACAATTTGAGTGCCTTGTGCAATGTATGATGTTAGGCTGATTGTAAAGTGTGGCGCTAAATGTAGTTCTCATGTTTGTTATTAAGTTGTGTATCATACTAGTTATTGATTTCCCTAACCAATACTCTGCACATGTCTCCATAATGCTTTTATGTGCTATCCTATTCAGTCTTACTTATCACGGCATTTTTTGTTAGCTTGATTAGTCCTTGATTAAAAAAAAATTTATTGATAGCTGCTCAATTTTCTTTGGCAGGTTTTGGGCTCATATCGTGATGGCTAATGAATTACTCTTTGTTGGCTTGGCGGATAGGGTTTATTCAACAAGCCACTTTTGAATCCTCGGCAGTTACAATTTCTTACATCAAGGATATCTTCTTCTCTCACATGCTATTCAGGTTTGTAACTCTTTGAATTTTTTCTTAATTAACATTTCTCGTATGGTATATCAAACGACCAAGATTGAACTATGTACATTGTCAATGTACCTGCATTTGAGAATATAATGAGATTGTTAACTTATTTTCTCTGATATTAACTTATTCTCACTTTGAATATGTATGAAATATGAAACAAGCCCTCGAAAATGTTTTTCAGTCTGGATATCTGTGAAATATGGCGAATGTACTGTATTATTTAATGTTTTTTTAAGATACTTGAATAATTGTTGTGTAAGAGTTTTTCTTTTATTTTATTTTGTGTGAAACTCTTGCAATTATATGGGCAATGAATTTGAAAACTTAGCACAAATGTAGCTAATCACGCCAAAATTACCTAAATTTGTGTTTTTTGGTTAATATTTTACACATCTCATTGCATTTGATGTAACAAGATGGGTTAAGAGAATATAATTGTTTATCAATTTTTAAATCAAATCCATCGTATAATAAAGTACCCAAACACTAGATTTTGAAAATCAAGATTCAAAATCGCTTTTATTTAATAAATATATCCAAGAACAAAAGATTTCTTAAATCAGGATTTCAATATCCTAAATTTAAAATCCCTTGATTTTAAATCAACTTCTCAAATCCAAATCCAAGTTCCCTAAAACGCAGCCTAACACCTTTTGTCAGACTAATGCTATTGATTGCTTTTATATCGCTTTTTGTAAAGGCTAAATTAACCAAGACTGGTATTATTTCTATCCCCGACTTACATCCAGGTAATATTTCTTGGTCCCCTTTACCGTCTTGGTATTTTCCTCTCACTGTTTGTTGTATTTTGCTTTTTGCTCTTCTTCCCTTGCTCGCATTGTGCAAATAGACTCAAAAGTTGGTTGACGGCCAAAAAATCCGGAATCGCTTATGTGGAGGCATTAAAGGGTAAATAATTAATGGTGAATTAGGTTTAGTTGAAGCACGAGCAACATGCTCCTTCTCCGTCTTAATTTCCATTAAAATTAGCGCAAGAAATTAGGTTACGGCTTGAATCAAAGCTCCGAACCTTTCTAACTTTCACCTTCCTTCACTCCAAATTTCTATGAATATTATAGCAAGCCCCTCTTCAGTTCAAGCTCAAATTCGAAGAGAGATGGATTGAATCAAGAAATTTGGAGGAGCATGAAGGTGAAATGAAAAGAGGAACTTTGATTTACGTCTGTTAACCTAATTTTTTTGCTCTCGAATGAATGACAGGGAGAGGAGGCGTATGCTTTGCTGCATGTGGCTTCCAACACTAATAATAAAAAATATTTACTGGTTCAATACTTCACACAGCAGTTTGCAGCCCGGGGCGGG